CAAAATACATCCATTATTATTACTCACCTGTTCATAGTGTTTAAAGTGAACAAGTTATAACGATAGCTTTTAGTACTTAAAACAACCTTCCCCCAACGTTATTAAGGACTATACGTATCCCTTGTGGCTCTTCGGTTTTAGAACTTTAATAAATATTTTAAATAAATAGTTTGGATGATCCATAATTGACATGTTTACACCCTTGTTTACACCAAGCAGCAAACTGTGGGATTGAGCCGGGAAGCCAATACGGAAGTGCCACACACTGCAGTTCATATATTGGCCGATAGGCGATGGCTGCAGAAAGGAGCAATTTCCATAGACCCCCATGTTAAAATGCCCAACTTTACAGCAGAAACAAACATGTTTCTACCCCTGGCTCCATACATTTTATTATCGATATAGTTAGATTCCACCTTCATGATTATGGATCTGTGAGTGAATTGTTTTCTAACGCGACCCTTTTATTTATATTAGGTCATAAGGTTTGTGCATAAATTAGGGCGTGGTCACATTGAGTGACGGCTCTGTCAAGTGCCTGCCGCTGTTAGCTTCTTGTCTCTCTGCTAGCTGCTCCGTGAAGCTACAGGGACTCTGCCTGCTCAGCTCATCCAGGAAACACAACTTGTAGCCGGCCGTGGTTGTTTGTTCTTCATGCTTATATATCGGACTATTGTGACTCGCTCTGCGGTTAAAACAGACGGTGCATGAATGCGGTTTTGCGGTAAGTGAAATTCGAGTGCTTTATTTATGTGTTAATGATTTTAATCAGCTACGTAATGAATGGTAAGGCTTGGGTTAGCATGTAAGCTAGTGGTAGCTACACCGGTGCTAACGATGCTAATCGTAGCCTCCAAGTTAAAATCATAGACTGTATATATAAAGGTTACAACGAAATAGACAAGTGTTAAGTGGGATAATACTGTTGAACAAACGGCTTCTGTTTGAGGTTGATAAAATAAGGTTACATCCTTGTAACTTAGAGATATTTTATTATGTAGGTAGCACTGTATGCATCTAAGGTTAATGTAAATTGGCTATGCTCAAGTATGTAGACAAGCTAATGTCGAAGTAGTGTATGTGAAATCAACCTCACAATAAGATGTGTGTATATTACAATTATTAATGTCATATTTCAAGATGATTAGTTAGATATTACAATATGGTTGGTTGAGCTGGAGTTCATTATTGAGCTTACACGTTAACGTCACAGTCATCTGAATAACGAACCCAAACCTTGTTGTTTTTATTAATTGCATTACCAAATGGGTATCAAATAAACAGTAAGCATTGGTAACACAACTTCCAAAGTTACAGTAAAATAAAAAGGCCCCTGACTCGGACCATACACAATCCAACATGTTCAACAGAAGATAATCAGTTATATTGTTTGTACACATGGTACTTTTCATATATATCTGTTTGTTTAAGGTGTCCAGGTGATGCAGACAGGCTGTACCAGAGAGTGAGAGACAGAACTGGACTCCTCACAGCAGTGAACTTCAGCACAGGTACAAAGACTCTTTTTTCATACTGTACAAAGAATCAAGAAAGATATTGGTTTAAATGAATGAAGTATTGACTTGAATACACTGATATACATTCCATTAAACAATACTAAATACTAGATCACCTACACATCAGTTAAGTTGAGGGTTTTTTCCATGCAAAAAGTTATATTTAGATATTTAGCAATATGACTTTGTCAGCTTTCTAATTTAATGTATTGAAGGCAAAGATATTTAACACATAGTGAGAACTGCTACTATTTATCTCTCAATATTGTCTGTAAAAAACGTGGTAAAAGTGATTCTTTCAGTGAGACAACAGAGCAAGCTTCTACAGTTGCACTACGTTTGGATAACAGTTACATATTATTTTGATAATAACATATATTTCAATGTTGATGAACTTCATACTGTTCATTCATAATCTGATTGTCTTTGTAGCTCATTGTTGAAATAAAAAAAAAACATTACAATTGCAAAATAATTATATCTACAGCCCCTAAACACACAAACACACTGCTTTCATAAATAACACACTTGTTCTGCAATAATATGTTTTATGTTTCCTGTCATTTTTGTTAGGAAAGGACATGCCTGAAAGACACGACATGTTCTCCTTCTCTGAGGGTCAAGAAGAACATCCAAGAGGAACATTAAAAGCTGATATGAGATTTTAAGACCAGTACAGGACATTCACTAAGAAACTACTTTTATTGTAAAAACAGTCAGCTGATCAAATGCAGCTATTTCCACATCTACACTCCATCCGCTGATTATTTATATTTGCCTCACTTTATGAGCTTCACATCACTTGTGCCTTGTACCGCAGAGTTTGCAACGTCACAAATAAATGGGGCCAATTTTCAGTCAGATGTGAATGTGTAATCTAACATTTTCAGTAAGAATAATGGACAAAAGGAGTGCAAATACAAATACAATTTATTGAAATGTGAACCAAAAGTTAATCAAATGTTTTAAATAAAAAGCACATATGGATAGAAGGTGTAAACCTATTAAATGTATAAGTAAACACATTTAGTCAAATAAAGTGACCGACTAGGCCTGTGCAGTTGGTATCAGCTTTGCCCAGCATGGGCTCCTTCATCAGGCCTGGTCCTCCTCGCAGAGGAAAGACCCTCAGTCCTCTCCAAACCAACAGACAGGACGTCCATCACACGGAGGTTTCTCCCTGAAGTCTCTGCTGCTCTCTGGACACCATGCTGTCTCAATCTGTCCACACTGAATATGAGATTGGGAAAATGAAAATAATAAATGCTTTAGACAATAAGAAACATAAAGTTGACTGTTGAGTTGATCAGTTTTTTTAGATTGTCAATACTATTACTGTATAACTAATATCTCAGGTTAAGAGGCACATTCAAATAAAGATTGGTCTTTAAATACATTTTGTCTTTTGAATTGTTTGTCTAAAGTCAAGGATCTATAACTGGTACTTAGTTTTAATGATACAGTCTGGTTATTATGCTGTTTGGAGGAGGCCTCACAGGTAAGAGCACTAACTAGCTACCATCACATGTACCTTAGCTTGACTTAAATGTATTAAACGTATAGTTAAGTGATATCAAAATATAAATAACTAATGTCATGCAAACATATTAATATTTGCTTGATTCCAGTGTTGAATTTAGTACAATTGCATACAAACGTTAAGGGGTTTTAAGATTCTGAAGTATTATGCTAAAAACTCAATAACTTAGATTATTATTTATAGTTTTGCTGAATAGTTTCATGTCCACTTACCTTAGAAACGTAAAATGCGACGGCAGCGTGCAGATGGGGAGCATGTTAGCTTAGCTTGGTAGCTTCAGCTAGCTCTGGAACTTCCAGCTCGGTGGCAGCAGGTCCCGCCTCGGCTCCGCCTCTTTGCCCTTATTTGGAGCAGGCTGGAGAAGGCGGGAGTTGAACTCTGACGTCACTGTTGAGCCGTTAGTGGCCGACTCCGCCTACTAAGGGCTTCTCGGCAACTCTGCAGAATCCTATGGGTGACGTCACGGACCCTACGTCCATTTATATATACAGTCTATGGTTTACACCAGGGGTGCCCAACCAGTCGATCGCGATCAACCGGTCGATCGCGGGGAGATTCCCAGTCGATCGCGAGATGTGTCTAAAAATAGAACAACAATATTCTGTTTTATCGTTAATGTCCTATAACATAATCTTCCTGTGCCAGAATAATGCACTTGAACGCATCAAAGCTTTGTGATTGGCCGGCGTGACCCCATGTGTCGGGGCTTGGCTAGTGGGCAGTGCACTAATTCGCTAACGTTGTCCGTGTCAACAGGAGTGACAGTCCGCACACACAAGACCACAATTATGGCAGAAGCAAAACATATATATAATTTTAACTCCGAGTGGGAGGATGATTATTTTTGTATCTATTCCAATTCAAAGTCCATCTGTCTCATCTGCAATGCGAGCGTGGCTTTATCGAAGAAGGGTAATTTAGGAGCGGCATTTCAAAACAGTGCACAAACGCTACGAGACGGAATTCCCTCCTAATTCTGCCCTACGCTCCAAAAGGGGAGGGGCCTGAAAGGACAGCTAAATGCACAGCAGTCCATTTCCACCAGGCCCAACAACAAGAGCAAGGCTGCTACCAGAGCATCTTATCGTGTCAGTCACGTTCTTGCGAAACACATGAAGTCTTTCAAAGACGGCGAAGTTGTGAAAGAAGCATTCCTGGAGGCTGCCGACGCGCTTTTGGGGGACAGTAAAAATAACAGCAGCATTTCAACAGGTTTTTGATATAATAAAAACTCAAGTTAGATACCGTTATTAATCAGCTGTAAGTTTTAGTTTGTTTGAACTTATTCATTATAATTATTGTACAAAATGGTATAAGAATGCAAACTTAAATTGATTATAGTCTATTATCAATTCAGGTTAAGAAACTAGTGTTGCTTGCATCCTATTTTAAAGGCATTTATTTTTATAATCTACTAAAATGCAACAAAAAAAGGGTTTGATTCTATTAATTGTGTCTTTTTTATTGCACTGTTGCTGCAGATTCCTGTGTAGCTTCAGATCTGAGTTGTCTTATTAGTAAGCCTAATTTATACTTTTGTAGCAACACTATTTTAATATCATGGCAAAGAAAGGGTTCAGTCTTTTATTTTTTCCCTGTGTCATATGTGGCAGCACTGTTCAATGTTTCTTGAAAACATTACCCACTGTAGTGACGTGTGAATAAACTCCAACTCTGTATCAACAACACTGTTGTGTAACTTCAGTTAAATACTTGTATGTGTGTAGATTAGAAAGAGGTAAGATAAAGGATCTGCAGTATTTTATGAAGTATTAATCGTACAAAGGTCAGTTTTATACAAGTAGAAGTGTGTATTTACCTGGTAGTAGGCTGTCAGTAATGGCTACGCCTCTCTATTTGGACTGGTAGATCTCTGCAGACTGGCAACTTTAAAAGTAGCTCTCGGTTAAAAAAAAGGTTGGGCACCCTGGTTTACACTGATCTATTGCTCACATTTTAATGTCTTTGTAACTTCAGTAAACAACAACCTTTCTTGTTTCATTCATCACGGTACAGCTAACCAAACATAATATGAACCAGTATCATAATAATAATGAGTAGGATTGTAACTCTTTGAAAGTGTGTGTGGCTCTTAAAAGAGCCGTTGTGTTTGGGTGTTCTGGTCTCAGGTCAGTTTAAGCCCTCTCCCCGCGGATACGGCGGGCCAGCTGGATGTCCTTGGGCATGATGGTGACCCTCTTGGCGTGGATGGCGCACAGGTTGGTGTCCTCGAACAGGCCGACCAGGTAGGCCTCGCTGGACTCCTGCAGAGCCATGACGGCGGAGCTCTGGAAGCGCAGGTCGGTCTTGAAGTCCTGAGCGATCTCCCTCACGAGGCGCTGGAAGGGCAGCTTGCGGATCAGCAGCTCGGTGGACTTCTGGTAGCGGCGGATCTCCCTCAGAGCCACGGTACCGGGCCTGTAACGGTGAGGTTTCTTCACTCCGCCGGTGGCCGGGGCGCTCTTACGAGCAGCCTTGGTGGCCAGCTGCTTCCTGGGAGCCTTTCCTCCGGTGGATTTACGAGCTGTCTGCTTGGTTCTGGCCATTGTAGTTTCTCAGTGTTCACAGCGAGAGAAGGAGTGCTGTGTTTCTGTGAGCAGCGGCTTTATAAAGGAGCTGCCGGAGCAGGGCAGCGCTGATTGGTGCATGCCGGGAGACACGTGCGCTGAGCAGCTGCTTTACTATTGGACAATGTAATCCACTCCTCCACAGGGGATGATCCGGGGGCTCCTCAACATGAACTTTAGTTTAGTTTAGGGGGGAAATAAATATGATTAAATATAATATAACCCTAACCCTGTCCTTTTCTAATGTATAACTATGATTTAATTTGTAGTGAAAAACTCGCCCTGAAATAAAGGAATCATTTAATAATAAATGTGTTAATTTGTCTCCTCTAAAGATTTGCTAAGATAAAGATTACCACTTAGCATTTTCTCTCAGGATTGCAGTAAAATAACCACCATATTTCCTTCATATTGTGAAATGTATTTATTTTCATTTTGGAAAAACAAACACCAGTGAGGTGGTATAAGCATGTATAGTGAAGAATGAATATTCAATCATGGTTTATCTTGCTTTACAAAACATTATGTATAAATAACATTTAAGTTATTTAGATTTCTGGTAGAGTAGTTATAGAGTATAACAGGATGAGCTCTTTGGATGGGTTGGGTGGCTCTTAAAAGAGCCTTTGTGTTGTTGGTATGTCAGCAGCAGAGTTTACTTGGAGCTGGTGTACTTGGTCACGGCCTTGGTGCCCTCAGACACGGCGTGTTTAGCCAGCTCTCCGGGCAGCAGCAGGCGGACAGCGGTCTGGATCTCCCTGGAGGTGATGGTGCGGCGCTTGTTGTAGTGAGCCAGACGAGAGGCCTCACCGGCGATGCGCTCAAAGATGTCGCTCACGAAGCAGTTCATGATGCCCATGGCCTTGGAGGAGATGCCGGTGTCGGGGTGGACCTGCTTCATCACCTTGTAGACGTAGATGGCGTAGCTCTCCTTCCTGGACTTTCTCCTCTTCTTTCCAGTCTTGCTGACGGTCTTAGCGACGGCTTTCTTGGAGCCCTTCTTGGCCGCTTTGACGGGGGGTGCTTCAGCAGGCATGATGAGAGAGTGGTTTGTCAGACTCGGTGCCTCACAGACACAGCGCGGTCTCTTTATATCCCCTCGATGCAAATACTGCTGTGCTGTTGCTCGCACGGGATTGGTTATCGTCTGCGCATGACTGAGCCTAAGATGTACTTTGATCAGATGTAGCGTATCTACTGTACTGTATTGTAAAAAGGGGAACAAAGTATTTAAACATTATTCTGCACCCCCCCCCATTTTATGTCTTCTCCACAGTAATCAACATATAACATGTCTAACATTAGCTAATGTAAGGTGTTTGAGGACTTTGGAAAGCCCTCAAATAAATACCATCAATCTATAATTAATTCCAAATGTATTTCAATAGTCAGGAAAGGGATTCTCAGAGCATCGTTATTGGTTGTCTGAATTGTAATCAATGTATTGTCACACTTTAACATTAATGAAGAAGGGCTTATTTATATCCACTCGAATCCTGTTTAAATCAAATGACTCTCTGCAAGACATTGATTTGTCCTATCTGAGCTATGTGTGTATTCAGGAGAGGCCTGGTTCTAACATTGGACTGTCCAGACCTGCCAGCAGTTAACTAGTGGACACAGTTTTATTATTATAAACATGAGAGCACAACACAATCGTCTGAAAACACTTATTTTCACAGAGCACACCATTGCAATTTTGTATTGATCAAATTAATGTTTCACCTTTATAAACATATTGTATTTGTCTTGATTTAATGGCATGAACCATATTCCCTCTACTTTTTTGATGAACACAATAATTAGCATAATCTTGTATTGTATGTTTTACTGTAAGTATAATTGTTGATATTTTAAAGTGTATCTTATTCTCTACGTGTATTTTGAAGAAGTCTCTATTCTGTGCTCTAATGGCCCATACTTTGTCTAGGATATTCAGTTGTATTGTAGTTTTTACTTTATTTCCGATTATTTTATTAATTATTAGTATTTTAATGTCTTAATAAATCTTTAGTTCAGTTTGTAGAACCCCCTGTTAACAGAGGATCCAGAGGAGAGTTGCTGTTCTACCATGATTGGAAACAATCTCAAAATGGTAACTTATTGAACTACTTTATGTCAATAAAACGGGTTTGTATGTTGCTTTCCTAAGAGTGTTGAAAGAATATGTTTATTCACATTTCAAAGTAATTTGCTAAAAGGGATTTTTGAATGATTTATTTGATCTTCTTTTAGTTTAAATATATTCATCCTCTGAACCTCAGTTAACAGAACTCCTTGTAAGTATACATTCATATTGTATTGATGAGAAATGAAAACAGAATGTAATGTATTTAAGATTCATTAGCAGTAGGCCAATGTTTAGCTTCAAACAGACGGCCATCAATGAAACATTTCAAACTAACTCATATGATACCTTTTACATCAGTTATGTCACCAGGGGTCCTTAGGGGTTTCTGCTCTTCCAGCATCAGACTCCCTCGCCCCGGCGACAAAGCAATGGTTAATGCTCAAAGACTTGTGTTCAGGTGACTCTTCCCCTGATCTCAATTTGAAAATGAAATATTAATTTATAAACAGTCAGAAATAGACAGATATCTGGTTTATGCTCTTTAATCAGTATGTTTTATATCAACTCAATAAAATCAATACAACATGTTTTATTCTGTGTACAAAGCATGTGCTTTTGCATATGAAAGCAAATAAATCAAAGGTCACTTTAGACTTATTTTCATAATGTCAAAAGTCCATTATTTTTGCAAAATAGCAAGCACTATTTTATTGTACTCTGTTTCTTCTTGCACTATTCTATTGTTTTATGTCCTATATTTATGTTGCATTGTTGGAGAAGCCTTGGACTTAAATGTTGTCTTTACATATCTACACTGTAGCTGTGCACATAACAATACAAGTATGTATCTCAGTCGGGGTGATTCTTTCACAATGTGTGCTATTTGTTGATTAAGTCATGTGCTTTAATACCAACACAGTTTCTATTTTAAAAAGGGATTAAATATGAATATATATATATATATATATATATATATATTTACAACTCGGGACCCTTCCCCATTTTAAAGTACTTTCGGTTGGTTATGGTTTTTATTTTCCGGTAACTTTTTATATATTGGTGCGGACCCTGATATACGCTTAAAGTGACAGGTATTAAGGCATTTTAAAGTATTTTAAACATGATCTATATTAGCAGTAATATGAGCATCATAAAGACATCACTAGATCGTGTATATATATATGTATATACATATTTGTATATATATATATATTGTTTGTTTGTTTGTAGCCTTTATTTAACCAGGTGAAGCCCCTTGAGATCAAAAGATCTCTTTTTCAAGGGTGACCTGCAGGACATTAGTTACACATGTAACATAAAAACAACAGAACAACAATAAGGATGACAAACAACATAATGTACAGGGTACAGTTTACAAACTCTATTTACAGTGACAGGTACCATGAGTATCAAACAGCATGTCACCCAGCTGAGTTTTAAAATGATGCAGGGGAACCAAAGTGCTCAGTTTTAAACATGTTTGCAGACTGTTCCAAGTTAGTGGAGCTGCACAACTAAAAGCTTTCTTCCCTAAGACAGTCCTAGCACTTGGCACATTTAATAAAACAACATCATGAGATCTCAGGCAATATGTACTTTCAATTCGTCGAGAGATCAGAGAGCAGATATATATATTTGTATATATATGGGAAACGGTATTTTGATCTTTCTGTCTGTACACACAAACTGAAATATTGACAATAAAGTTGATGTGATGGTTTACAGACTGATTGGAAACCCAAATAAAAGCTTTTTGATTTCATATTGTATAGCATATAATCACAAATAAAGGAACATACACTTCTCCTCTCTTCTGTAGCACAGTTCATTATTATTAATGTATACAACTATTTATGTAATGTATAACTGCTCTTTGATATACTATTTACAGTTAGATTATATATCATTATTTAACAATGATGTAAAAACACCATCAGGAGAAAGTAGAGTGTATGAGGGTCCAAGGACAGAGGGGGTCGTATTCACATTCTGTACAAACTGAGTCCACTGAGCCAAATGAAACATGTGTGATATTGGGCTGTATAAATAAACTCTGAGTACACTTGAGTCGTGGTGTGGCTCACTACAGAGGGAGAGGTCTCTACATAGTACATTCAGCCTGCAGTCAAATGTGTCTAAATACAGAAACAGCTGATCAAAAAGGAGTCAACTCTCCGGATAGAAGCGTGTGGCTCTTAAAAGAGCCTTTGTTGAGGTGGTGAAGCGGATCAGGGTGTAAAATAGATCTGTCTCTATATACATACCTGTAATAGCTTGGTTTCACTTGACGTCACACCGCTGCGTTCCTTTGGCGCGAAATTCCATTGGAGGTCAGGAAGTAATTTTATGCAGAGGATCTAGCTGCTGTTACCATTGTGAAAATGCCGGTGTGTTGTGTAGTTTACGGTTGTTCCAATCGATCCGGCCGAGAGAAAAACAAGAGGTTTTACCGAGTGCCGAAGGTTGTCGTCCATAAAGCTGAGCAATTTAAGAAGCTAACCGAAGAACGCCGGAAAAAATGGCTTTCAAACCTACATCTGCGGTCGGGAGGAGCAGAGTCGTCTAATGCACGGGTCTGCAGCGACCACTTCATCAGAGGTATTAGCTAACTTGGTTTTTGTGGCTTTGTTTAGGTATTATTGGGTTGTGGTTAAATGCTTATTTACCTAGTAATACTGATCATGTTTAAGTTACCTGTAGTCTAATATGGACTTTGTTGGGACTTTTTAGGGTGCCCTAGCGCTTTGGGTGACGTTGAGTCGGTAGACTGAGCTCCCACTGTTAGCCTCGGTTACCACACAACAAGTAAGCCCAGATCAGAGGCATCTCTTCGACGAGAGCAGAGGATGGAGCTCAAGGAAGACCAACAAAGACAATCAGAATGTGCAGAGGCTTTGTTGGATCTCCTGCAGACAACCGAGAGCCCAGAACTGACGCAGCCCCCGTCTGACAGCCCACAACTAGAGGACACCAGTGGGATATTAAATGACCAACAAGGTAAATTAACCACCAGCATTATTATTAAATATTACAAATGTGATTGTCAGAAAATCAATGCAAACTTTGAATTAGGTTTAGGTTTAGAAAATAGAGTACTAACTTGAGAATGTGCAATAATTGGAACAGAGAACTTGCATGTCTGTAAAAAGGTTGTCAAAAAGATAACTTCACAACAATTCACATTCATATTTGACTATTTTAAATAACTAATTATACTTGCTACTGCTATATTGTATGCAGATGCAGAATGCCAGACTGATTTAACGATGAAGGACATCGAGAGGATGGAGGATGTTCTGAGACAGAACACAACAGAGCTGGGAGATCTTCGGACAAAGGCACTGGACACAAAGTTCAACCAGGAGTCCTTTGAGAACAGCGAAGAGAAGACAAAGTTTTACACCGGGCTCCCCAACTTCTTAGTTTTACTTCAGGTTTTTCAACTGTGCGAGCCCTACATCACCTGTGGCCCTATGTCTGTGCTCTCCAAATTTGAACAGTTCATTTTAGTTTTGCTGAGGCTGAGACTAAATCTCCCTCTGAAAGATTTGGCTTTCAGGTTCAACATCTCTCTCTCCACTGCTTCTAGAATTTGGCATAAGTTAATTGATATACTTCACGAGAGTACAGAATTTATAATTGAGTGGCCAGAGCGACATGTACTTCAAGCTACAATGCCAATGGGATTCAGACAGGCATTTGGATGTAGAGTTGCTGTGATTGTTGACTGTTTTGAAGTTTTTATTGAGAGGCCCTCTAATTTACTAGCTAGAGCACAAACATGGTCCAACTACAAGCATCACCATACTGTTACATTTCTGATTGGTGTTGCTCCCCAAGGCTATGTTACCTACATATCTTGTGCCTGGGGAGGAAGAGTTAGTGATAAACAGATCACAATACAGAGTGGGCTCCTAAAAAACCTGTTACCTGGAGATATTGTCCTAGCAGACCGTGGGTTCGATATTGCCGATAGTGTGGGATTTTACTGTGCTTCACTAAAGATGCCTGCATTCACCAGGGGGAAAAGTCAGCTGTCAGCATACGAGGTGGAAGAGACAAGAAAAATAGCTAATGTGCGTATTCATGTCGAAAGAGTCATAGGATTAGTCAGAAGAAAATATCAGATTCTGCAAAGCAGGGCTGTGCCCATAGAGCACATGCTAACAAAACCAGGTGAGGCACTAGCATTAATTGACAAGATTGGGGTTATTTGCTGTGCCTTGTCTAATCTGTCAGTGTCTGTCGTCCCATTGGAGTAAAGTCATGGAGCTGTAGTCTAGTAAATAAGAAACCATGTATTATTCAGTATCATTTAATCTTTTCAGTAAACATCGTTTTGTGTTCAAACATCTTGTGTTCAAGTCTTTTCAGTAAACATATTTTTGTGTTCAAACATCTTGTGTTCAAGTCTTTTCAGTAAACATATTTTTGTGTGTTGTAAATTGTGTAGCCCTACTCAATATACAACTTTCATCTACATTCAGGCTTAATTCATTCAACAATATTCTAGAGATGACAATTGGTCTGGTGACCCTCCCATGTATGGCCATTGAGGGTTATTGTAAATGTAAATAAGAAACCATGTATTATTCAGTCTTCTTAGTATCATTTAATCTTTTCAGTAAACATATTTTTTACAATAGCAATATATCACACAGCCCTACTTCCTCTAGTGAGTGTGGTCAGTGAATATGAAGGTGCTGTAATGCAGGTTAAAGAGCTGCCACTGTGCAAATAATAATGCAACAAGGAGAGAACCACAACTTCCGGGACCAGGACAGACCACAGGTGCTGGTAATCACGCCTTCTCTCCCTCCTGATCATCTTGCAACTGAAACTGAAAAATGGAACAGCAGACAGGGAGAGGAGGCTTTTAGTCACCTGATAGTTATGCACTATCATGTTCTTGTGGAAAAAAATGAGCACACCAACTCTTTATGACTTGTACCTTTCCCCTTGTAAGTTGCTGTCCCAACACTTCAGGGAGAACACATAGTCTGAAGAAACTCTCAACTCTGGGAATGATGTTGTCCCACAGGTCCACATCACGCACAATTCTCTCTACAAAGAGGTCATTTTTAGTCCAGACAACAAAGTCGCAGTAGTCAACGTCAACGACGTGGAGCTGAGCCTGTACTTGATGGTAGTAGGCATGTCTCCTGTCCAGCTTCACAGTGCCATCGTTGACGAGACAGAAGCCCTGTTCTCCAGCACACAGGCAAAGATTGGCCTCCTCTTGTTTGCTGTGTGGGCACTAAAAGTTCAATGAAAAGAAAAGCAATATATTGTACTGTAAATAAGTGTCTGCAGCTCAACATGTATTGGGAGAGGATCCCCAGACTCAGGATCACGTCACAATCCTATACTTACCCGCTTTACTGTAGCACAATACTGAACAAATAACTTACCTTTATCTCACAGATACCAGTTCCATGGCAGGTGCACGTGACACCTCCGTCTTGCGACGCTCCCATGTATGGCCACTGAGGGTTCAGCCAAAGCCCGCTGTCTTTACAGCTGAAAACCCTGGTGGTGCAGACTTTGTACTCCTTCATACTGCTTTCGGGCAGTTGCCTCGTATTTGCATCCATACCTGTAATGTATACAACAAGGAACAGAAATAGAACATTGTACATTATAAAACGGACAAGTCAAATCAAGCAATCTGATTGGTTCTTAGCCGTGATATAATCAGCGTATACCACGGGTAGAATTGTAAGTTACTTTTCACAACAAGTCGGTATCCCTCCGCGTCTGAGAAAAACTGTATACAGTTGCGTTGAAAAGCAAACTGCCTGCAAACTGGAACAAGGAAGCAGCGGAGAAGTAACGGGGCAGAAACCCTCCTTTTTACGCAGCGGTCCAGACGCTTCGTGTCGGGCCGAACCACGCCCCTTAGCTGTGATATAATGAACAAATACCACGGCCTGTCGTGAGCTATTGCTTAATTATACCATGGTCTGGGTGAATACTCCATTCTGATTGTCTCCCTAATCCCTAATAAATACCTTGTTGCAGCTGTAGAGAACTTGTGTGCCTCTGGGTAGCATATGGACTTGATCAAGGACTTTGATGGCTGTGCAAGACTAGTCTGTAGAACTTGCTTCAGTCTTGAGGCTGTGATCCTTCCTGCTCTTTGGCTAAACCATATTGGTGATAAGCTCTGGTTTCTGGTCTCCTCCTCTACTGCCTGGACCTGTGGCTGTGTCAGCTCTTCCTGTCTGAAGTCCTGGCATGCATTCTGCAACCCTGTTGGGGATAGCTGTAGCATCTCTGGTGTCCTATACTGAGGTAGTGGTTTAGGTAGCTTGCTCACAGATTTAGGGACAACTTCTTTGTAATATGGTTCCCTGGACATCAGTGCAGCACTTCTTGGGGAATTTCTGCTCAAAGTCTTGAAAAACTGCATATACCTCTGATCCTCGCTCCAATTTTTAACCCTGGACTGTGGGACGATGAAATGTGTGCTTCTCACCTGTCCTTCCAGCAATGGCATCATCCAGTTTTTGCTTTTTGGATTTTGCGGATGAAAAGTCTATCATCGCAACTGGAGCAGCAGGAATCTGCACATGTGAGAGACAGACCAACATGTATGTGAACATACATGTAGGTGCAGTGTAACAATGAGACAGGCAAGGACGGCATGAACAGCTGACTGACCACTGGGGTCTGAATACCTTTTTGACATGTGATGGCATTAGCTCAGTGGTGCAGGATGCAGTCTCTCTCATCTTCACACCTGCTTCGATTGCAAACAGAACTGCTCCAACATGTGAGCAGGATTCTGACAAACTGTATAGACAGAGACATACTAAAATAACTATAGATTGATCGTAAAAGCTAGTAATGGTATAACATGAATATTATAGCAGGCATTATTTTGTCTGAGCTTAAGTGTTGTGTCAAATATGCTTTGGGTTGGGATATTTATTTTATGACTTACCCAGCCATACAGTTACAGTGTGCTGTAACAACCTCTCCATCTTCTTTAGCTACAATCCACGTTTTTAAATGGTGTTTCTCCAGACCTCTGGGAATGGTTGACCTACAAAATTGAAGCTCCAGTTAACAACTTGCTAGTTAGTAACATACATTTAACAACATCAAGCCATAGCTAGCTAGTATAGTTATGTTACGTCCCCAGCTCGTTTCGGGGTAAAAGGGAAGCAACACATAACCAGATGGTCTTGGTAAAGAGGTTGTTTTTAATATTAACCTCAACATAGAGTGATATAAACAACGTGCAGGCTGTTCAAAGGCTCTGAGCTGTCTAAACAGTACACAAAAACGAAGGCCACAGAATATCACAGTCACGAATCAGGACACTTAAGTACAACGCCGTCACCAAAACACAATATATCCTAAGCTAAACACATACACTCACATCAATATCCTAAGTACACACACACCATAAGCACCCGAGTTAACCTCTGTTAACAATATCGTAAGGAAACACACATCATAAGCACCCGAGTTAACCTCTGTTAACAATATCGTAAGGACACACACATAAGCACCAATAACACACAAACATTCTGAGGTATGGTAGCATGGCGTCCTAGCACATATCCAGCGTCCCGAATGTCAACAACGTCGCAGCTTAAGTAGCGTCATCAAGAGGAACGAAACAACGTCGCCGACGCGGTAACCATAGTACCTACATGTAATCATAACACACACACACACACACACACACACACACACACACACACAACACACACACACACACACACACACACACACCACACACACACACACACACACACACACACACACACACACACACACCACACACACACACACACCACACACACACACACACACACACACACACACACACACACAACACACACACACACACACACACACACACACACACACACACACACACACACACACACACACACACACACACACACACACACACACACACACACACACACACACACACACACACACACATCACACACACACACACACACACACACACACACACACACACACACATCACACACCACACACACACACACACACACACACACACACACACACACACACCACACACACACACACCATTTAATTGCTTGAAGGCAAGGCGACAGCCTAACACTGCCTTACATGAGTCCATGTAGCTAAAGTTAGCTAGCTAGAGTCTCCTAATAATGCGACTTATGCCCCTTTCAGACACCACCAGCGCTTTTCAGCTCCGGCTCGGTAGCCTGAAAAGCGCCGGTTTGTTTTCCTGTTCACACCGCAGCCCGCCGGCTCTTTAGCTCCGAATCGGGTTCACTTCCAGCTCCAAAAATTGTCGGTCTAGAGGCAAGAGCTTCGGAGCTAAGAGTTGGCGTCGGCTTACGTCTCTCTACGTCGAGGCGTGCAGAAACTAAAACCCTCCTCCCCTGAACATGGGTCGACTGTCATGCCTGCCTTCAAGCAGTAGTGCTTATAAACACACTTTATAAAGTCAGGCAACACTAACCAGGCTTCGTGTGATTCTGTTTATTTGTACCTTACTTTGACCATCCGTTCATTGTTATTGATCATTGTGGAGAGAGGCAGACGTTTTGTTTTGTATTATAGCAGCTATCGGATGGAATCAATACATGGGCTGCACAGGTTGTCGTGTCCGACTATCACAAGTATAATCATAATAAAAATACGCCGGTAAAATGTGCCTGTAGAAAACGGTTTATGCCACAATAGGATAGCAATAACAAGTAGTCAGTTTAGCTTCGGTTGCTATGCTAACATCACCCATTTTATACCAGAGAAACTTTCATAACAGCGTTGTGATACCAAACAGCGTCAATTCAGACTGACACACATTCACTTAGGCTAAGGGGAACTGGGGATATGTATCAGCTGCTTGTGTGAGTCGGACAGTGAATACTTTAGAGCGGCCGCAGCAGTGTGAGCTAACCGGGAGCTAACGGAGGAGAATAAACTCCCATGGAAGAGCAGCCAACACTGCAGCGGTCGGTAAATGCTGCAGAAACACATTAATAAACAATGAACCACGGCACTCTGGAGCAAAGTATAAGGTTGGAGAAGTCGTTATTCAATTTAATCTGGCTTCGTGTGATTAAAAGCAACACGATCATCGACCCGACGCAGTTCCCCGTTGTTGTTGTTGTTGTTGTTGTGAGCGCCGTAATGCCGTTGGGGAGCAAATCAGCGATGTAAACGGTGACGTCATGACGCAGCAGCGGCAGCACCAGTCGGGTGCTGGGCGGTGTGACCAGAGCGAGAGCAGAAAAGGGAAACCGGAGCTGAACCAGAAAAGCTCTAAATCGGAGCTAGAAAGGGAAACGCGCTGGTGTGAAAGCCGCATCAGAGGTAAGAAGGTATACGTAGTTAAAACCCAACCGGGCAAAAACAAGGCGACATTTGTTTAATGCCTTTTTGGTGCCGAGGTCATTCACCCATCCACACACGAAGTAGTTGAAAGCTTCCAGGCTTTTATACGCTTTCATTTGGCTAGCCGTGTAGTAGGAGGTATGAAGGACGAGGTAGCTGGTGATATCCATCACCTGGACAGCGGGCAAATCTGATAAATCACGAGAAAAGTCGCTCTTTTTCAGCTGACACGGATCGTATCCGATGTGTGCTGTGATTTTTTTCACGATATCTGAGGCGTGCAGGTTCATTTAATTGTTTGACATAATCGGTGTCCTCCATGATTCCTGCATTGATGAATGATTGCGTTTTCACTTCCTGACCTCCACTTGAATTTCGCGCGTCATAGAAGTCACGTGACTGAAACCAAGCTATTCTATAAATACTGTGACTGATCAAACAATACCTTGAAAGTCTATGTTGACACACTGGGTCAACTTGTACAGGGGTTTGAAGTTAATGAGCACTAAAAAGTATCAGCAACATCCATTAATTTTTGTAGTCTCGGTATCCTACAAATTAAAAATACTCTCAAAGTTGGACCTTAATTAGTGAATGTTTGGAAAATCTAGAGAAATGGTAATAAGTGTTGAAAGAGCAGTAACACCACAATATACATCATTACAGATCAAGACAATGGAAACTACAAATAAGACAAAGTCGTGGATTAAACATAAAAGTGTTAGATGAAGGAAAGCTCTCTGGATAGAAGTGTGCGGCTCTTAAAAGAGCCTTTCTTGTTTGTTGAAGCGGGATCAGGGTGTTCACTTCTTGGCAGCCTTCTCGGTCTTCTTGGGCAGCAGCACAGCCTGGATGTTGGGCAGCACGCCTCCCTGAGCGATGGTCACTCCTCCCAGCAGCTTGTTCAGCTCCTCGTCGTTGCGGACGGCGAGCTGCAGGTGGCGGGGGATGATACGACTCTTCTTGTTGTCCCGGGCGGCGTTTCCAGCCAGCTCCAGGATCTCAGCGGTCAGGTACTCCAGCACAGCCGCCAGGTACACCGGGGCTCCGGCACCGACACGATGGGCGTAGTTACCCTTCCTCAGATGCCTGTGGACACGGCCGACGGGGAACTGGAGCCCGGCACGGGATGAGCGAGTCTTGGCCTTCGCCCTAACCTTTCCTGCACCTTTTCCGCGACCAGACATTTTCTATGTGATTATTCTTTGACGTTTAGAAGAAAGTGAGTCGATCACCGTTCTCACCAGTATATATAGGAGTGCAGCTGAACGCTCATTGGTTAGATTGATCCGTAACTGTGATCGTCCAATCAGAAAACAGGTCGGTCTGCCGCCTGAATTATTTTCAGAATCAGACTGAATTTTCTGAAATTGTTTTCACCCGTTCAAAGATGAACATAAACTCCTGTAATTTAAGAAACGAAAGTCTCAATATGTAGAGAACATTAAGACATTCAAAAAGGTGTCATACTTAATGATTATTTACAGTGTGTAATTAACTTATTAAATAATATATTTGGTATTATAACTCAAATTACACACCCACCTAAATACATGCAGCTGTTTGGGCTAAACATTTAACGGGGAAAAAATGATCATCAGTTGTAACTTATTTGTGTAGGTTGTAATTTGTGTAATGTCTATTTTTGTATCTTATCTTTATATTTTGAGGACATCTCTTATTTCATATTTTGATTTTAATAGTTTTGCTAGGTATTATTGAATATGAAATGAGTATTATATGAAGTTGCAAGCAGCTATTGTCTGAGATCGCATGATGTAGTATTGTTAGATGTGCCAAGAGCAAGGACTGTCTTAGGTACGACAGCTTTTATGTGCGCAGCTCCACTTGCTTGGAACAATCTTCAGCAAGAATTTAAACTGAGCAATCTCATTCCTCTGCATGTTTTTAAAGCTAGGCTAAATGAAATGCTTGTTAATACTATGGGCACTTGTAAATGTCTATAACTATGTAAATGTATCCTGTAAATATAATGTATAATGTCCTTTATTGTTTTATGTTTCATGTGGAACCTATATGCTGCAGGTCTCCCTTGAAAAAGAGATCTATGATCTCAAGGGACCAATCTCGTTAAATAAAGGTTTGAAATGAAATGAATTATTCATTCTGTCTTTGTGCACCAAATATACCAAAGCAAATTCCTTGTATGTGTTAACCTACTTTGTAATAAAACACACACACACACACACACACACACACACACACACACCACACACACACACACACACACACACACCACACACACACACACACACACACACACACACACACACACACACACACACACACACACACACACACACCCACACACACACACACACACACACACGTCTCCGTTGTGGGACAAATAAAGGATTATCTCAAGCATCTACACATGTAACCTTACTTATACACACCAAAATAACGTTTACACATAAATAAAGTTTACACAGAGTAAACGTTTACTAATCAAGAGTCTATTTTGTCCAAAGATAAAATTCATGACGAAAAAAATAAATGGCTGATGAATCTATTGTTCATTTTCGTGCTCCACAAAATGGCAAATGCACATGTAAATAAGTATATGACAGTCTCATCTGTACAGAACAGTTCGGTAAAATAATCACAGACACACATTTAAATAAGTCTATGACAAAGTCTCATCTGTACAGAACGGTATGATAAAAATAATCACAGGCACACATGTACATTTTATGTAATATTCTTGTTTTGCTCGATCTCAGTGCTGCATTTGATACTATCGACCATGATATCCTGTTGCAAAGACTAGAGCACTTAGTTGGCATACAGGGAACTGCTTTAGGCTGGTTTAGGTCCTATCTATCTGAACGCTCTCAGTTTGTACGTGTCAATGATGAATCTTCCACGCAAACCAAAGTTAGCCATGGAGTGCCACAAGGCTCAGTGCTCGGACCTATTTTGTTCACATTATATATGCTTCCGTTAGGCAATATTATAAGGAATCATTCTGTACATTTTCATTGTTATGCGGATGATACTCAACTATATTTATCAATCAAGCCTGATGAAATTAATCATCTAAATAAAATTCAAGACTGCCTTAAGGACTTAAAAACGTGGATGACCTTAACCTGTGGCAGGGACCCTGTTTTTTTTTTTCACGACACTGTGTCTCAGGGTATCTTAATATTTAAAAACCTATTAATGTGTTATACCAGATTAACGA